TAATTCCGATCAAAGATAACGAGTTAATTTTAAAAAAATAATTATATATTTTTTTTTTACACGATTTAAAATTAACAATGTTGGAATTAGTTTAATAAGGAATATCCTGATTGTAAAAATCAGAGGACCAAATGGCGTCCCGACGGGACGAATTACGGTAGGGTAGATTAACGATTAGCAATTAACTCTGAGAATATCCTGTAGTTGAATGTCCGATATACTGGAGGAAGGCCTCACGCCCATTTTCCTGCTTCCTCCCCTTCAACCGATTTCCGTTCCGTCGGAAACATCATATGGCGTATTAATTGGATCGGTACCGGACCAACCAAGGGAGATTCATCTCCGATAGACACCTATGATACATGCTAAACCATTATCTTCTGTGATCCATGAATGATCGTACGAACTAACTCATACTACTAAAATAATATAATAAATATCTGGTTACATTCTATAAATTTGTTCGTTGTTTTTAACAAATTGTACGCAATACCATTTTATGTAATAATAATTTAACATAATATTTTATATTATAATGGCATTGTACGATGAAAAATTTCGTTTTGTTCCAAAATTATTACTTTTAATTAAATCACATTTTTTTGTCTTGTTTTCACAAAATATTTCAAATTTCAATCACGATTTTACGAATATTATACGGCAAAACATAAAATCGTGTTTCTATCATTGGATTTTGAATCCAACCGATTTATTCTCTCCTTTACAAAATTATCCAAATTTGTATCATTTATTGTTTCACACAATATTTGATAAAACAAATTCACTCTTGTTTTGTTATTTGCTATGATACTGAGGTTTGTTAACGCGTGCCATGTGGTATACAGAATTTCACACCTAAGGGGAATCCAATCGATTTTCCACAGTTCGATCGAATGGGGAGAGGAGAGAATTACGAGGGTCGATACTTTTACAACAATATACTGTATTTTCGAAAGATTACTTTTATTGTTTTGAGTTCTATTTGATCGTACCGTATTCTTTCAATTTAATTTTAATCTAACAAAAAATAAATATTTAAAAAAGAACATAAACTGTGTAAAGAATGAAATGTATACAGCAACGATTGTTAATCATTTTTAATCAAAGATAAAAGATTTCATTGACCTAATCTAACTATCATATATGTACATATACTAACTAATGTACTTGTATTAATTGGCTGTTTTTTCGAATAATGTTTAATCGTAATTTTAAAAGTGATCTTACGGAAGAGACCGTGAGTATAACCTTCTTCGAAAGTTCCCACACACGTGATACGCGTCAAATATATGCGAAGGATAATAAAAAGTATGCAGGAAACGTACAAATGCTCTTTCTAAACTTTAGATACACGTCCAATCAAGCGATATACGGGCCAGGTGGTATCAACGAAACCGTCATATTATATATCTCATCGAACGAAATTTAATATTTTTTCTCTATTCGATTTACATACGTTCAGACATTGGGAAAAAAAATAAAAAAAACAGAAAAATTCAAAAAGAAAAAGCAAGAAATCGACAAATAAAAAAAAAATATTACCTAATCGATTTCTACCTTTTTATAAGTAGAAAACTCAAGTTAAAATATGTACCAACATAAGTCTTACCAAACCGCAATACTTTCTATCTCATTTTCCTTCCATTCGATTTACATACATGCATATATTGAAACAAAAAAAAAATAAGATAAACATAAAACAATATTACCATATCAATGCTTACCTTTTTCAATAGCAACGCTAATCGAAATACTGAGCATCATTATCAAGCCATCATATTTTTTATTTCTTGAAAATATAAAATTACGTTTTTAACAATTTTATTTGAAATTCGATTTACGCGTAGTAGACGCATGCACGAAAACAAGGAACAAAATTACAGACGATTATTATTAACGTTTGAAACAATAATAAAATTATATAAATAATGTTACTAACTAATGAATGTGAAAAAAAAAGAAAATCATATTAGAGAGATCTTAAAAATCTTTTATTTTTCGTAGTGTATGTTTCACGGTCATAGACACCCGTACACATATAGAAACAAGAGAATCAAAGGGACTCATCCCTACTGAAATCGTTTTTTGGGGGCCAGCACACGCGTAGGGACACGTGACCCATAAGTATAATAAAAAAGATGATGCTAGCGTGGATCAGTGACCTCGTGTCTCTTCTCAAAGCCGGCAGCAAAGTGTCTCGTCATTTTGACAAGATCGAAACAACTTGAGAGAGAAAGAGAGAGAGTGAGAGAGAGAAAGAACCTTTGATGTCGACTTTAGAACGGAGGATCACTTCAATTCGAACCATGTCGAATCGCAATTTTGTAGGATTAATACTAATCGAGTAGGATATATAAGCACATGGTTGAGTTTGAAATTAACACTAAACGTACCACCGTTACTTTCGGATTTTTATTTGGTATTCCAATTCTATCTTACAATTCTTTAAACGTTATTGCTTTTTTTATCCTTTTTTTTTTCTTTTTTTTTTATTTAACATAAATATCGTTTCAATTATTATTTATAGGAAATATTTGTATAATATTTTATTGATCGGTTTAATGTTAACAAGGATATTATTTGGATAAAATATGTTCCGATATTTGTCATTCTTATAAACATCTTTTTAAGTTTTATTTTACCAACTGGTGTATTTTTATATTCACTGAAACTAGCAAAAAACATTAATCGTAAGAGATGTATAATTATTAATCTAAAAACTATGTTAAAAATCATTAAAAGAAAATTCACAAACATCGAGAAACAATCGATCATTGTAAAACACATAAAAAGGATTTTTATGTAAGTTTAGAGTGAAGTTTTTTTTTTTCTTCTTGTTTCTTGTTCTTTTTTTTACCAGCCGGTAGGCTTTTCACAGGGAAATGAAGACGATTGCCGCGATCAATTTCGTAAAATCGAGCAGGTGATGAACGATCGTTTTGAAGGGTTCTCGGGCAAGCATTCACGACGAAGGGTCGATGAATCCATCGATAAAGAGATCTTACCAACAGTTAGCCGAAGAAAACCCCCACCTATATATATATATATATTCGTGCAGGTCATGAATTTATATCATGAATTAATATATATATATATTTTTGTTATTTTATTTTTCTTTTATTTATTTCATCATTTAAAGGGATATACTTATTATTCGAAGGGATTAACATATTCACATAAATATATACGCTCTTACCTTAATATTAGTTTTTAGCTCGCTATCATAATTTACACCTTCATTATTATTATTATATTTTTCTCTTTTTCTTTTATCTTTTAAAATGAAGCTATTTAAAATAAATATGTATTATTTTTTTTATTATAAATTTCTCTACAATATTTCTTTTTTCATTTTTTTTCTTTTCTACCGACAGGAGAGAGACTTTATTTAAGCGATTGTCATACTCAGGGTAAATTGAGGGACGGTTTATAACTATATTCACAAATAATTATATATATATATACATACGTAAAAAAGAAAAAAAAAAACAAGAATACAGAACATACGTGCAGCATGTATATTCAGAATTGAGAACGTTCGAAAGGAACGTTGGCAATATGACAGAAATCAGCTCGAAAATAGTAAACGTATAACGTATCCTTATCTTGCCGCATAGCGATGCATTAATAAAAGTTAGACAGTAAGAGAGAGAGAGAGAGAGAGAGAGAAAGAAATAGCATATGGTATATCTTCGCGAAAGCCGAACTGCAACGTCTGCGATGCAAGCAACGTCTGCGATGCAACAGATGGTGCGTTGTGTGGTGTTTGCGTGGCTCGGTTTGCTTCGGTTCGGCTCGTGTTGCACCCCCGCCTCTTTTACAATAACCATATACATATACACACACACTCACAGATACACAGATACAATTTCATATACATTGTTCGTGCCCAACTCTAATCCGCCTGGACTCGTGCCACGTATATTTCACGGTGCGTAAGTAGAAGAAGAATAAGAATAAGAAGATGGTAAAGGTAAAGGTAAAAAAAAAAGAAAAAGGTGAAAAAAGAAGGGAAGAAAATAAATAAAGTAAAAGAAGAGAAAAAAAAATATTGAACTCGAGCCAGCGGGCGGACGGACCGGGCGTGCACAGCACCCGGTAGTAATTTGCGGTGGTGCGTGCGCGCGAGATTTGCAAGAATATTACACCCTTTTCTTCGGCGGGTCCTATCAGCCGCACCGACACCGCCCTTTCATTATTCCGTTCAACGACTTCCGCATTGTCGCGGATATCTAAGAGCACCTGTCATCGACTAGATCATTTCTTCAATTGATTTTTCTCTTTGATTTATCATAACACATTTTACAAGGTTGATTATTTTAATTAACAATAATATACAATTCATTTTAGCAAATGATTTAAAAAGTAAATTGTGTCATAGTAGTCGGATGATTGTTAAACGGATTACAAATTATATTCATTTTATATACCTATATGATATAAAATAATTTAGAAAAAAATACGATGAAAGATTATTACTGTAAAGATTATTAAGTATTATTTTATTTTACAGTGTAAAAGAAAATAAATGATAGAACTATTATTACACAGTAGTGCAATAAATAGTATTTCGATTATAGTTATATGTATCAGTGATTTAAATCACTACATCACTTACCGTCTTGTAAATATGTGATGTGTTTAACGAAATACATTTATTTTTCTTGTTTCTATTACGTTATGAGAGGATAATATTAATTCGTTTAAACGTCTAATTAAATATATAAATATTTATGTATTTCTTTTTTTTTTTCATGCAGATGTTTTGAAAAATTCTTAATGTTTATTAATTTATTGTATCATACCTTGTGTACAATTGAGTGTTCTCATACATCATTGAGCCTATCTAATTTAAATAGTTACAAGAAAGTTAAGAGCATTCAACTCGGCTAGAAATATACATATACATATACACTATACATCAGAGTATGTTGGAACGATCTAAGGGTGCACCTGCAAGAGCCTGCATGTAATTAAACGTATCATTTAAAACGATCCTACTACGGATCCCTTTGTATTCCGGTATAGTATTTATTTATGTTAGATGGCTTGCTGAAAAATTCAAATACCCAAATAACACAAAAAAATATAATACAATATATGAAAACAAACTCCCGTGAATTTTTATATTTATAATATCATTTAATATCTTATAGAATACCCTTATTGACTATAAGTTTATATAAATGATTAAGATATTACAAATTAAATTGGTTTTTTTAATTTTAAATATTCAGTATTAATATTTTTTTGAAAATTACTGCAATATTTTTAATTCGTTCCTCTTATAAACTTCGTAAATTTTCGATAGGGTTGAAACATAATGATCAAAGTTATGTTAATAATGATTTTGCATAATTACAATTATTTACCAGTAGAATTTATTCTTATTTTTAGGATCATTTTCTTGAATAGTATTTCTCTTGTGAGATAATATTATAAAAAATGTTTAATTCTAAATTACATTATATTTCAATGTAAATTATTTGATGGTAATACGCACGTGTTAAAAACCAGTAGAATTACTTTACTCTTTTCTATTACCAATCTATAGAACTACAAGTGCAGGTGGATTTTAACCGTTAAACACGTTAACACGATCTAAAACGAAGACGTTAACTATGGTACTTTAGAGTATTAATCCTCTTCCAAGTAAGGGGGTAGCGTTTCTCACGCACGTGTGTTTCCAAAGTGAAGATAAATTGTTCGAACTTTTCGGGTTAGAGTTCCTCTCTCTTCTTGCACCTGCGAATCCCACGCTTTCAAAGAATCTCTAAAGTAACTTCCGCTTTAGAAGTAACATTATTATCATACGAAACGAAAATAAAATAAATTTTCTTGTAACTAAATGCAAAAAAAAGATGTTTAACATTTTATCTAATTTATTTCTATTATTTTATTCGAAGAACGATTAGTTTTAATAAATAAACTTCAAGTAAAGATATATTTTTTAACTATTTCACACGAAGAGAGATAATTATTCAATGTATGAAAAATGTGCTTAAAAATATACATTACCTAATCTTAGTGGACATTTTATAGAATGACCGGATTCTGTACATTGACCGTAACATATATACTTACTTACCAAATTAGAAATTCCATACGGCATTTACCGTTTCTTAAATGCGTCTGGTTTGCGTCCCATTTACCCATTTATATTGCATTCTTCTTTTTACAATCAGCCCCAATTTGGGATCAATTGCACCAATCGCCGTTTATGGTTATCAAAATCTCGAATACGAACCGCTACTGGGAAGAGATTACATGTGTTCTTAAATAAAATATACAATCTTCGAAATAAACTGTTATATACGTCTTTAATGCATTGTATAAAGAAAAAAAAAAAAACAAAGAAAAAAAAAGGCAAAAAAAATTGTGAAAGTATACTACTTTCTTTTGCATGTTAATTTGAAGATTTAAAAAAATCATTTCAAATATATACGTATTATGTATTGAGATCAGTTAAAAAATTTCGTTTATATTTCAACGCAAAAGTAAAACAAATTTTATTTCGTATTTTCAAATCCAACAATCTTGTTCTAATTTTTTTTATGATCTCATCAATTTCGATTAGTTTGTAGTTTGTATTATTTTGATAAATATTACGTATTTTATAATAGCTTAAGTCACTCAAGCACAGTTTACTCAATCCATTATGATAATAATAAAAATGAGTAATAGGTATAAGTATAATAAAAATAGGAGAAACGTTATAAGAAAAACATTTTATTCAATCAATATCTTCTTTGATAGCAATAATAAACATATTTTTGGTTTATCAACTAATGCAAATTTAATCATTCGTACTTGCACTTATTCTTCCTCCTCGCATAATCGCTAAATTTACTCTTATCTACCATCTATTATCTTTTTCTCTCTCTTTTTCATCTCTTAATTTTTCTTTTTACCCCATACTTTTTTCATTCTCTTAACATACATACGCGTGCATGCATTCGCATATTCTAGATTCGATAGAACGATAGGTATACTTAATTATCTATTGGTTTGATTTTTTTTTTCTTATATAATAATATCATCTTACAAATTAAACTATACAATTATTCGCAACTAACTAACGTTGACAGCGTATTATCGAATTCGCGTATCGAATTGTCGTTAAAACAAAATTAAAAAAAAGAAAACAAACAAACAAACAAATAATAATGAACTTTTGAAGAAAAGAAAAGAAGAAATTTCGAAGCAACGATGATGATATGTCGTATATAAATAAAACTATTATCATAAATTCGTTCATACACCAAGCATGCACTACACACACATATACGCGCACGAGTAAATAATTATTCTTAATTAATAAACTAATTAAATTATATTAGCGCTTAAGAAGGACCTAAGGCTTTGATTTTTGTTTCGGGTTTTTAAAATTTTGCTAATTTCTTCTTATCGTCAATTTCTTTTTTCTTTTTTTTTTTTTTTTATACATTTTCCTTTGTCTATTATTGAATTTATAAAAACCCGAAGATTATACCAATCAGCCGGGTCCATTTTTATTCTATCTTTGGTCCTCTAGCCGCTATGATTTTTTTTTTTTTCTTACACATCGAATTTCAATATGTGAAACTTTTCGCATAAATTTCTT